AACGGTTCGCTCTTAATAAATTGATGACGACGAAGGGGAAATCTCCCACTCCCGATGACAAGCTCTAAAAACCCAACACGTCAGGCCCAATACGGTTGGGACTAATCCATAAATATGATTATTTCCTACGCATCAAAGCCATTCCGTGGAAATCCGCGGAATGTGACGTCGAAGTATGGGGAGTCTCGTACAATGCTGTCATCGATTCAGGTGCAGTTGTTTTGGCCATATCACTGAGGGTAGTGGAAAAGGCAGGACGACAGAAAAATTTGATCTTGCTAACCGAAAAAGACCATCTCGTCTCTGCAAATGAAGAAAAGATAAAAGCAGCAGGCAGAATAACGAATGTCGCCTTTCGGTTAGGAAAGATTCATGCTTTAGGGGACGTGGTGGTATTGGATGTCAATACCTATGATGTACTTCTGGGATTACTGGCGCTCGTCACGCTACGGGTCAATCTGGACTTCGAACGATGATCGATAATCCTACGAAGTACAGGCGCGAAACCATATGTCATTCTAATGCGTTTAACTTGAACTCTGTGAACCATGATGCCCACAACTCGGAAAGTTCCTCCGACTCCTGGAGTCGCTCTCCGAGTAATCACCTGAGAACAACCAAATAGGTAAGTCGAGCATGAGGATGAGGAATATGGTTCCTCAAGCGAGTCTGACAGCGAAAATGAAGCTGATCTCGACATGACGTGACAACTGATTCACTATCCAATCCGACAAAAGACTTCCAAAACATTTGTCCTTTCGGAAAGCAACCTGCAACGAACTCGAGTTTTACTTTTTAGGGAGCCCCTCGTACAAGTATCCTAGATGATCGACTCTTTGGAACCCCCTCGAACCCTGTATGAAGCTACGACTCCACTTCTTTCGAGATATCGAGAGAAGAAGGCGTTCTGCGACATTATAGGGCTACCTCGTTCCTTGCTGACGTCTGAAAAGGAGGTAGGATTATTACGCTTAGGGGACGAAAGCGAAGCTTTGGAACCCCCTGAGCACGACTACCCTACGCTCTACGAGCTCGGGATCAAGATCGTCGAAAAGCCAGTTCCCTGCCAAGACATCGGCGACGGTGTGACCCCGGAAGAACACGTGGCTATCCGAGAGGAAGACGCTCAGATGGTCGCCACCATGTTTTCTTGGTGGTCGGATAATTTCTTCATTTCTGCTCCCCCTACCGAAAATGACCACAGAACGAATACGAAACACGTGGCGGTTATCATACATGGAAGATCGTACGAACTGCATGTATCTCAGTACGTACCCAACGAGACCCATCGATTGATTGCGGATATTTTGACTGAATATAAGGACGCGATTAGCATAACGGATACGGATATTGGATTGTCTCTAGTTATTCAACACGAGATTCAGACCGGAACGCATCCCCCGATCCACTGTAAGCCATACCGATATTCTCTCGCATAAAGAAAAATTGCACTACAAAGAATCCGGGAGTTTGAGACTAACGGATGGATCGGACCAGCAACAGGACCTTGGTCATTTCCCGTGGTCCTAGTCCCGAAAAAGAGCGGGTTGATTCGCATTTGCATTGATTACCGAAAACTGAATGATATCACGATCAAGGATGTATACCCCCTTCCCTGGATTGATGATTTGTTGGATGCGATTGGGTGTACGAATTATTTTAGTAAGTTTGATATTCGCCACGGGTTTCATCACATCTTGGTTAGAGAGGAGGATCGGTCGAAGACGGCCTTTGTATTGTTCGGGGGCACCTGGCAGTGGATTCGTTGTCCGATGGGAATCTGCAATGCACCAACCACGTTCCAAAGGGCGATGAACGTGACCTTTCAAAATTTCGTTAACAAGACCCGATTGACGCAGAGGATGATTAATTTCTGCGTTATCATTTACATGGATGATATTCTTGTCTATTCGGAATCATTTCACGGCCATGCGCAACATATTGAGTGGACGCTGGGAGCACTGCGGAACGCTGGGTTCAAAATTGCACTGGAAAAGAGCGAGTTCCTCCTCTTGGAAATCTCGTTTTTGGGTTACGTAGTAACGCGAGGCGGGTTAAGACCAAATTCAAGGAAGGTTGCGGTTGTCCGAGAAACTCCCACGCCCACGTCACTGACACAGGTTGGGGCCTTTTTGGGACTGGCGTCGTACTACTGCAGATCTATGTTCCCCCCTGGCCGCGGCCGAGTTCGGTCATGACTGCAACTGCCGGCCATGACCGGGACCCCCCCGGTCATGACCGCTCTGGTCATGAATTTCCGGCCGTGGCCGTGGCCGGTCGGGAAGGGGGTTTCGGGAGCGAGGAGCGGGTTTCGGGTGGG